GTTTCTTCCTCTTTTTGAGGTGTTTGTAAAACCGGATATTTTTTCTGTTTGTTTTTGTGTAACATTTCTTTATCTGTTACAGAAGGAGACTTGACTTCCTCATCATCGCTCTCAAGGGAAATGAGATCCTCCTCCGTATCTTGCGGAGGCTTTGTGAGGTTAGAGTGGGAACTAACCTTTAGAATATGTTCTGTTTGAGCGACCACGGCCATGACTTGTGGATCGACTTCCTTTTTATCTATCAAATCTTTAATGAGATTCCAATAAGAGAAGGCGGTCACAGGAATTTTTTCTGGGCCAAAAGTATTATAATAATCTTGAAAACAATCTCCTACTCTACGCCATCTTTTAATATCAATAGTTCCTTCCTGTGGGAACCAAGGGCAAGTGTCTTTTACAAAATCAAAAAATTTAAACAAATCATTACCTTTTAACCTTTACTCCTCGTATCTTTAAAGCCTCTTTTAATTGTCCTACATAGATTTGATGTTGACTTAATTCTTGTCCCATTTCGGACACGTCACTTACCTTCGATTTTGACGCAGCAGGTTCCCGCGGTGATCGGAGGAGTTTAGTTTCACCTTCACGGTCCACCGTTCTTTCGCGTCCTCTTCCTCACGGAATCCCTTGTTTCCAGGCTCCAGGTTGAGGCGCCACGTGTCCCGTCCAGCGGGATCGTCAATGTAGGCCCTAGAAGAGGGAGTGGGAACTCGAGGGGACAAGAGACACGAGAAATGGAGACAAGACAATATCCTGATCAAGTCTCGTTTATTGGTGGCAGTGTAATGCCTTATATAGACCGGCAGGGGCGGAGGTTGGGCCAGGGCGATGATGGTGGCCCTGTGGTGGGCGTGGCCAGGTACGTTTCAGTTTCTTTGGTCGGACGTCATGTTGCGCCTGCGCGGTAAGTTGATCATTTTCCCGGGCGTGGGAAAATGGGTGATGAAGAACCCGGAAGAGCGCCATTTTGTACTGGCATATGAGATATCAGTACAGGGAAGAAAGTAAATCTAGGGAGGAGGTATAGAGTGGAATCGTATAGAGCTCAGGCGTCAGTTGTCAGTTATAATCGCTATGGCCGGGCCACGCAGCTCCGGACAATGAAGATTTATACCTATGTTTTCTTCTAAGAGTTTTCTAGTGTTAAGTCTCACATTTAGGTCTTTGATACACGTTGAGGTAATTTTTATATGTAGTGTGAAGTAGGGATCCAGCTTTATTCTTTTGCATATGGATAGCCTGTTGTCTCAGCACCACTTGACGAAAAGGTAATTTCTCCCCCCACTGATTTATATTAGCACTGTTTTCAAAAACCAATTAACATAAAAGTGAAGAGTATTGCTGGGCCCTCAATTTTGTTCTGACTTCATTCTTTTTAATGCTGTTGTAAGTTGGATTTTTAAATAACATTTCTATTAATGCATTGATGCTCTATAGAAGCACACTCAGTTTTTGTGTTTTGATCTTGTAGCCTACCAATGTGCTAAACTCATTTAGTATTCGTAGTTTAGTAGTTGCTAAACTCATTTAGTGTCCAGATAAAATATGCACACTGCTTAGATGTGCATAGTTCAGGAAAACAGGCAGTGCTTGAGCGTCCATGAAGAGCATTGGGACTGCATGGAGCACTCGCAACTTTGAGGTGATGACTACAGGCTCCCGGTCGCAATAGACAGTAACAAACTCTGCTTCTTTGTATTCAAGAGATGTTCTGGACTCACGCAGGGAAACTCGGGCTAGGGAATGAAGATAATTTTAAACGCAGCAACTCAGAGTCACAGATCCATAGTCTGGGAAACTAAAACTTAGGAGCTTTGAGGGTTTAATTGTAATGCTGTTTTGGCACAGGTCTTTTACAAATTGGAATTCTAATCATTCAGGGATTACCAATATTGTGCTACCTACTGTATTAATAAACAAAAAGGAAACTGATCTCTATGAGAATCTCTGTGTGGTGCCTTCAGACAAAACTTCACCAGGTTTAGAGAGAAAACCCCTGTCTCTACACCTCCATTCCCAGGGCGAGCTCACTCTCTGGCATCAAGTTCCCCGTGGTGAGTTTCCCTGCACAAAGGTCCAAGGGGAGAGGTAGGAGAGGGAGACAGGGAGTCCAGTTCAGGGCCGGGGATTCCAGGACGAGTAGGGAAGGGGAAGATGCTGGGTGCAGCCTGGGGGTCTCTCCCTGATTTCCACAGACAGATACTTGTCCAGGACTCAGGCAGACAGGGTGTCAAAGAGGCTTGGTGTCGGAGAGGGATCAGGTTGAAGTCCCAGGTCCTGGGCGTGGCTCTCAGGGCCTCGGGCCTTATCTGCGTTGGGGAGGCACTGGGTTGGGGATTCCCCACTCCCCTAGTTTCACTTCTCCCAACCTGTATCGGGTCCTTCCTCCAGGATACTCGTGACGCGTCCCCAGTTCCCACTCTCATTGGGTGTCGGATGTCTAGAGAAGCCAATCAGCGTCGCCGCGGTCTCAGTTCTAAAGTCCCCACTCAGCCACCCAGACTCGGAGTCTCCTCAGAC